TTTCTTCGTACATCAGGAGACGACAAAGCCCGCTCACTGGGCCAGCATGGTGTAGGGATCGTGTTAAACGAAAAAAAGTTGAACCCTCTATGATAGATTGGACACCCGTCAATAGTCGTTTGTGCACAGTAAGGCTACAGGGTTCAGTTAGTGTTCGGAAGGGCAGCAACACCAAAAAGTGCTTGTTCATCATTTCCGCGTATGACCAACCAACAGAAGTCTGGCTTCACAAAAGGACGAACTGTACGACAAACTCGCGGGACTGACTCAGGGGAGCCCAAGCTCTGATATTATAGTACTGGCAGGTGATTTTAACGCGCAGGTTGGAAAACTGAGCGCATCCAAAGCCTGCATAAGAGGACACTTCGCCCTCCCCGCCCAGCGAACAGACAACGGTGATCGACTACTTCAGTTCTGCGCTGATCACCGGCCGTTCTTATCTAGCACCAACTTTCGACACAATTCTCGTCGAACTGCTGCATGGAGTTCTAGTTCAACGGGAAAATTGACCCAAATTGACCACATAGCTCTAAGCTGCGGATCCTATTGGACCACCTACGTTAAGTCGGACCATGCACTGGTTCTGATGTGCTTCACTCTTCGACTCATCGGTCATCGGCAGAAATCGCCTCCTCAGTTAGCTCATCATCGTCTGCGCATGTTATGAGGAGAAGCTGGGACAGGAGCTAGGAGAACCGCGACATAGTGGAGTAGACCAACAGTGGAATCAGATTGTATTTGCGATGCACTCGGCTGCAAACTTTGCTTGTGGGACCGAGCCCGAAGTTCGCCGAAGACATTGGATCTCTCAGGAGTCAGTAATCCTGATGGATCAAGAGCGAGAGATCCCAATCTGCCAAGATCAGCATAGGGATCGGTGTCACCCGCAACGTCAACTCAGGAAGTCTTAAGTGCTATCGCGAAAATTAGTGGGCCCAAATAGCTGGTGGAATGGAGGTTAGGGAATAGCCAAAGACGGTTTCACCTGATAAGCATCACCGGGTGTCGTCTCATACTTGTTAGTGAGACCATTTGCGATAATGTAGACAGATTATCCCCAATAAAGACTTGATCGCTGGACAGAGTATCTTAGTGAACATTTGAATTGGCCCAGTGCTAATGCGGTCATTCCGGCAAATGCGACGGAAATCCCATGAGTAGTAACATGTGAACCCCCATCAGAATTGGAAGCACGAAGCTGCATCCAATCAGTAAAGAAAGGGGAGACTGTTAGGCTTCTTCCCATTTTTTTAAAGGTGGGTGGTGACTGCCTCGTCCCCTTACTAGTTTACTTTACAGCATTTGGTCGGAGGAGCGTCCTGTCTGTGTTCGAACAACGCTGTCTACGCAGCATTTCACGTATCTGGTGGGGCAGCCGGACGAGCAATGCTGAGGTCAGGTACAGAGTTTTAGGTAAATGCGGTCACCCACTGGAGCACGTGGTCGACCGCCATAGATTACGTTGGTTGGTGCATGTGTTACGCATGCCACCAAATAGGCTGCCACGGCGTGCGATGTTTGCCGAGGTAGATAGTGAGTGGAAGAAAGTCAAGGATGGTCAAGCTAGGACCTTGCATGAGGGTATGAAAACCCTAACCAGGAGTTTAGGTCACACAGGTCCCGTTAGGCTCCCTGGATGGGGACCTCGGGATTATCATACCCGATGGTTAGAGACATTGAGTGATATGGCTGGGTATCGTAAACCGTGGTGTTCGCGCATCTTGTTGATTTCTCTGCAAAATTAGTGCTATAAAATCCTCAATTTTCTCCTCGATCCTAATTTCAAGCTTTTCTGTCTTTCTCCCTATGTTCATCCAAATCGGCAGCTAAAGGAGAGCAACCAAAACCGACGCACTATAGTGCATGGTTAATGTTTGTAGAAACTAAAACTGAAACTGGGGTGAATGGTTGATCGTCCCGTTCTTCAAAAAGGGATTACGCAACGAATTGCATTTCGGAGTGATTTGGATTTCGAATCGTTCCGTCGAATTTTCTGCGATTTCTGAAATATTGCTTATGTAAAACAGAATGTTTGAGTGAACGAACAGAAACAAAGCACCGCCATATCACAAACACTGAAGATGCCACTTCGGCTAGTAGATAAAATGTTTAGAAACTAATCGCCTATCTCGATCAAGAGACGAAAATGAATTTGGTCAACCTGAGCTGTGCCAATCAATCTCGTTGGTACCGTGATAACTGGCTATCTAAGCCCTAGGATTTAGAGGGTCGAATTATGTATGGCATGGTATTGAGCCGGCCAACAGATATTTTTATTGCACACTTATCTGATGAACGGTAAATGGGATGGATCACTTAGTCTCAACGGCTTGCCGATAAAAGGCTAGTAACCTAAAAACTTGGAGTGGCGAAGCGCATAAGGCCCCGCTAGGTTAAGCTGTCTGTCACCAAACTTGGACGGTGGTGATAAGGTTTTGACTTCAGGCTCCAAACAAAGGTAATGATACTGAATTAACCAGCCTGATCAGCATCAGAAGCACTACTATAATACCGGGGCGGTTTCATTACTGCAGGAAATCATAATCACCTATTTTGTGAGATCCACAGCAAGATAATGGTTAACGGTCGAGCTTCACTGACTTAGATTCAGCGATCGTGGCCTGTTTCTTTCACTATCAATCCATGTTATTCCTCTGCTTTGTTCAATTTCGTTGCGGTAGGTAAACCTACTGTGATTAGTTCTCGTTAGTTTGTTCTCCATAACGGCTGTTGAGTTCGCATTAATCCCCTTTACCTGTTTTCACAGTTAGTTATGAGCTATTATCAATTCCTACTCAAGTTTTCAGGCTTCCTCTTCACATACAACACTCAGTCCCTCCCAATTGTGTTTAACTAAACGAACTGATGGTTTAACTTGAAGATCAAGTCAAAGAGACGATCATTCAAAATAGATATTGCTGTTTTTATGTTGCGAAAGTTGAACTACACTGCCGAATTCCAGGCGTTTGTATTTTTCCGACTCATGCATCCGAAACGTGTTTTCTCATTGACTGTCATATATCTTCTCAAATACCTTTTCAAAGCTCTCTTCGTTTGGTTCCCCTTAGGTGTCTACCTGCAACAAATTTGCCACCAAAATGTCGAAGTCCAGTCGTCCACTTTTGTTTCTAGATCTAGGCCTGGGGTGATGATTCGCTTGATAGAGGCATTTTTTCCGGAACAAACGCCTGTTGATCATCTTTTGGTGATTCCAGACTCGCGCATCGAATTTTTTAGCCCCGATTGTGAAGTTGTGACGACGGGCATTTCCAATGGAATGTGAGTCAACCTGTTTTCTATTTCCTGACTTATTTGAAGTAAGAAAATCAATGGACCATTACTTTTTACTTTGAAGACTAGGTTAGGTTGAACATTTGATGCTCAGTTTATGAGTTCATTCTGTAATCGGGAAGATGTTTGAGTTTGAGTTGGAACCCAGTCAACAGTCACCAAACTGTGGTGGCAAATAGCCTTGTATTCACCTGTCCCGTTACTACATTTTCTCTACTGGGGCTTATTCGACCCCCCACTTCAAAGTCTAACACTTAAATTACCGATTTTCGTAGCTGAGTTTGAAGGCCATTGTAAATATAGAATTTATCTGTTCCGCTATTCATAGCGCCGATGTGTGAAATGAGGTATGTTTCAACTTAGTTTTAAAGCCAACATTTTGTTGACCTCACCAGAAACCTTCGCCACATTTTTTCATATTCCCTTTTTGCCCTAGACCAATTAATGTGCAAACTGCTGTTGTTCTAGCATAGTTTATGTGACTTTTATCATCGACTGTTAATCAGGTCCAGTCCTTCAACCAAACGCCATTATTTGTTTGTCGGGAAGGTTTAACCCTAGTTCAAATGGAGATAATTGATCGGTCGGAAGTAACATTAGCTTGTGTCGAAAAAAACTAATTTGGTTGAGAAAGTCAAATTCCTTTTAAAGGTGGATTTATATGACTTAGAAACACCCGGAAACGTACGAAATAGTGTGCGATTTGTTTCCGTGTCCCTACTAATGAACAATAAATAACTAACACAACATTGTTAGCCGTAGTTATCAGTTTTTTGAATGGGATACCCTCGGGTTAAACAGAACTAAATGCTACCAGGCGCGTCCGCGGGTTGTGGATAGGGCGATGCCTTCACCGAAAAAGGTTATCTGTGAATAAATTGTGGCATACCGCAACAAATAAACAGTCGCGAACAAACTGCGGCGGCACTGCCAGAGTGTGGTGGGTTTCAGGCCAGTCACCTGGCTCCTGTTTGAAAGCCGCATAAGCCCAATGATGGTGTTGTGACAAAGGTCGATGTGACTGACCTTTCAGTACCACGCCTGACCTATCGAGGCCTTATGTGGTTCACCACTCTAAGTCCAGGTGCTTAGGTTACCGGTTTCCATCACTAAACAGCAGATCCTCGTGACTATGGGGTTTATCCTGTCTTTTGTTCATCACACGAAAGTGTGCAATGAAAAAACTTCATGATCATGTCTGAAGCCGGTTTATCCTTTCCCAGGAGCCAGCTGCAGTAAAAGAACTAAAATAAAAGGAAAGGGAATGAGCTGTCAATTTTATTTTTGGCGTAATAAACCCTAATAGTTTATTCGATTGCACGGCTGCAATTGTGTAACCAGTCTACGCCATGCCTTCTAATAGCACTTTTTGAAAACTGGTTGTGAAACAAAACGTAGGCGAGTGCGTCGCTTGCAATCCCCTCGACTTACACCGTTCGGTTGCGGGGTCCGCTAATGTTAGCCAGTCACGTAAGGTCGCACTAGTATTGACGTGTTACTGAGCTCGGGTTTGAACGTCGCATCGTGGGGTTCAAAGCATACCAGTGGCCAAGATTTGAATCGTTTGAACATCACCTTCGACCGTCGATTGATTGAGTATCAGGACTTTGTGTAAATTTTAAACCGATCTGTGGCAACGTGACATCTTTCTTCACTCCTTACGTCCGGTGTTCGATCCAACCTGTAAATGTCCTGTTTTGACCTTCAGTGCAATAATTGGCTCTACTCGGATCATCGAAAGTGAAGAATTCCAACCAGATACTAGTCGATTCTACGCCTTCACTGATGTCGTGCCCGACACTCTGGCTCAAGGTTTTATTTTAAGTCCGACCAATCCTTACCGATTTTTTATCACAAGCTTCAGTCGGGTATCCATGTCGGACGCAGTGGAACAATATGAAGCTGGTGAGTAAATACACATTCTCTATTATCTTTCTCGTATTGTATTGATGCTAATTTTAATTCAACAGTTTGTTTGGTCACTGTATTTCGTTACGACTAGCGCATGCCCTATGCAGTAAGGGCTCGGATCCAATACTAGAGGAACAAGCCAAAGCATGGAGCCGACTTTGGCACACCGGTGGAGTATGCTTACTTCCGGCCCCTTCTCCGGGCGATAATCCCACAGAAAAATGTTCACCACACAATCGTCTCCCGTTAATCATCAATGCCTCACAGTACAGTTTACTCACTTGTTTGCCGACACATTTGTCCGGTTGGATTGATCATTGCGGATTCTTTGGTCTCTGTCCGACTGGGCTCGCGCGAGGTAACGAGGAAGACGATTACCTGGTAAGCTGTCATTGTTTTGATTTATATACCGTTATTTATTCATGTTCGTCATGCTGAATATTGTGTACACCAAATGGATTACACAGTTGTTTGTGGTTAGCACATGTACAAATAAATGCAGCTCTAATCCGCACTCTAGTGACGGAATTAAATGTTTTTAGAACATGGTTACTGTTCCTTAAGACTTGGTTGCAAAGATAAAAAACTCGCTCGGTTTTCCAGCTAGTAGTATGCTTGCATTCTGCCTGGGAGATCCCGGTTTCGGCCCTTAATGGGGTCATTGGATTCGCACGGCCGTTGAGACCGAAAAAGGTCGAAACAGCTGTGTAATACCTCCTAGCTTTTCAGTTCACGTTTCCTTTAGGTTATACACAGCAACAATAATGTAAATTGCAGTTTGGTTGGTTCTTGATTCAGCTTTTTACTCTCCATTCTTTGACCGTGAAAAATTTAACTTTGTGCTAACCTATTAATCTGTTATTTCGAAAACTAAGTCCAGTAGGTGAAACAACAGGCTTTTAAAATCTTATCGTGCTTCATTTTTAATGAAAATGAGCACCAATCTAGTTCTTCCCCACGGTATCGCAGCTCCTGTAAGTTCAATGCCCGCTCTGATATTGCTTCCGAATCCGTTGGTAAACTCTTTTTTTATTACACACTTTTTTCGTGTGATGAACAACAGACGGGGCGATCCCCATAGCCATGAGGACCTGCTGCTCAGTGATGACAACCGGTAACCGAAGCCCCGGGACTTGCAGTGGTGAAACACATAAGGTCCCGATAGGTTAGGCGTGATATTGAACCGGACGACAGCAAAGCTGCCTACCACGAAAGTTGGGTGGCGGTGGCGGGGCTCGAACCTCGGGCCATAGGGTCTAAAGCACGCCTGTGACAGCGACTAAACCACTGAGCCATAGCCACTGCTCTGGCTAATGAAAACTGAGCGCACTTGGATAGGTTTGAGAAAATGTTAGTTACTTCTTGTGAATGGATCGACAGAGGACTCACTTTGTCTTGGTGGTAATAAGAATAGCCCGTGTAAGTGGTCAGACAACATAAATAATTCACTTCATCGCACTTTACGTCATATTGTCTAATCTTGACATCGGTATACTGCAGATTGTANAGATTGTAACCCATTCTTGACCCTCTTATTGGGAGCTGACAATATTCCATCTGTGCACAAGCAAACGATCTTATTATTATGATTATTATCCTTGCTCTTGTGGATTTGTTCTCCTTGCGAATTTCAGACTTGGTCATCATATAATTATTCCCACTTCTACTGTTAACTGTCTCCTCTCTTTCGCACACTGCCCTGAAGGGGCACGTATTTTGGGATATGGAGATCTGGATGTTACCGTGGATTAATCTCTTTCACCCGACACAATGTCGTTTGGCACTCGATTATCGGTATTTCATGTTACCGGCAGCGCGATACCTGGCAGTACTCGATGACCTTGAAGGAGCCCGATATCCGTGGGAATCAGCTTTCACAGGTCAGTCAAAACTGTTATACTGTTTCCTGTGACGAATAGTTCTCTCCCCCCCCCCCAGTGGTGTCCATTCCCTTCCGTTAGCCCAGTCGCATTGAGATAATAATCAAGTGAATCTTTTCCATGGCTGTACGGTTCAAAACAAGGTCTATGCCATTAGTTTCAAAGATGGTTTAGACTTTTCCGTTTCTACCGTTGCTCTATGAAGTGTACTTTATTGTGATAGCGAAATTTTCTCACTTATCATCTAAGAAACTAACTTTAGTTATTCTTTTTGGAGCAAATTGACCGGCCTCAGTATGGGGTGGGTATCTCGGAGTTGCGGCTGATCATCTCTCTCACGAAATGCTGTCATGCCACCAAGCTTCTGAAATTGCTTCTACCGAGGAAGCCCATACTCACCACCTCGTGACGGAAGGGTTTTCCCACCAAAGTGAGAGGATATAAAGCCCATATCCGGGTCGGTGAACCACTGGTAGTTCACATAGGGGAGTTAGCTAGAAACTCTGATTACAAACCAATCAAGAGGCGTACGAACTACGCGCACTCGTTCCTAGTCGTGGTGGCNGAACCGGACACCAGCCCCTAATGGACTGGTTTCGAATCACCGAACCGCTGCCTCGCGGGTCAGGCTTTGGTTAGCCGAAGCATTCGGTTGTGAATTCCCTAAAAAGATTCACCTGCCTTGGCCTGTGCAACCTAACAGTATCGCTCCCTTGAGCAAATCATGAATCTTTTACTTGAAAATATTAATTTTACTAAATGATATATATATATATATATACGTTATGGAGATCACAGATTTGCATTGGAGGTTCTTTCAGACGACATCCTCAGCGTCCCCTAACCTTTCCTCGGACGCACCGTACGTTGTCCAGTTGAAGCGATTTCCCTATTTTCCGTTGGTGCCGACCGCAAATTTCTGCTTTTCCCTAAGTAGTCAATACCCTTGAATGCTGCAAATTGTTTTTAGCCCTCAGCTATCGTTTACTTGATTTGGTCCGCTTTGCGGTCGATTTTCCAAAGTGTGGCTACCGATACATGCCTTATCCTCTTGNTCCAAAGAAGCACGATAGTCTATGAGCTCAATTTAGTTACTTGTATCAAATAGCCAGTACAACCGGTTTACCGAATCTTGCTCAGAGCGACTTTGGTGGTGGACAGCTCTACTGTCGTCCGGTTCAATACCACGCCTAACCCATTGGGGCCTTATGTGGTTCGCCACTCCAAGTCCCGGGGCTTAGGTTGCCGGTTTCCGCCACTGAACAGCAGGTCCTCGTGACTGTGGGATTCGCCTCGTCTGCTACTCATCACACGTGGGCGTGTAATAAAAAAATTATTATATGTTAGCTACGGATAGAGTCAACGTATTCGGTGTATCATAGAATTCAGGTTTCTTTGTGTTGACGAGGCACCAATATCGTGAATAATTTTGTATTACCGCATTGCCCATGGTAAATTCTTGTTTCGAAAGGTAGAAAATATAACACCTTATTAATTAGTAACATCTGAACTCTGCTCAAAGGCAATTTAGAGAGGTGGTCCTTGTTCAGTTCCCACAACCAGTGTAAACCTACTCCTCCGTTCTCTGTTCTCGGTAGCCGTCTTCCGGCTATCTATCTAGTTGATCAATGAATGAGAGAGTTGAATAAAAGAATTGTGCAAAACCTTGATGTGTTTGCATCTGTTTAGGCCAAAAATGAATTCATGCGCTACACAGGACGCCCAGTCAATTCTAAAGACCTTATCCAGAAAGTATTACATGCTATAGGTGACCAAGTTCACTGGTCAAGATTTTTAAACTGTCCTATCTTGAATGCGGGGGAAATGTTTATGATAACCAACAAAGAGCACTGGATAGCTCTTTTGTCCTGTTTGACACTCGTCAGCAGTGCGCACTTTTTGTGTCCCTGTCAGAACTCGAATCGCGATTCTTCGGGCTAGGACTTCAAACCCTTACCCTTGAGCCACCAACCTCATCAACAGTGCCTGATGGCTGTGAAAAACTGAATGGGCTAATCCAAACATTCACCGTCCTGTCTTGACTTGGACTTTTCGTTCTTAAAAGTCTTCCAACCACAAGGTCTTCACAGGAGATACCTGGCTCGTGTAACCACGCAAATGGGTTTCGTAGGCGTTGCGTTTTCGGGATGGTGAACTTTACTAATTAATAATTCAGAATAAAAATGAGCCTTCTTAAATCATGAGTACTTTGTTGCATTCTGCTTAACATGTGAACCAACCTGATTCAGTCGATATCTGGTCCCTCTGGTAGACCTCTTGCCAAGTGTTGAATTGCTTTTGTGGACTCATCACCTGAGTAAACTATGGGGTTGTTACCAACGAGTCATGAAACAAGACTCTTCCACTATTACTTTCGATCCCACCACCAACCGATATCACCGCATTTTTATTTTGGTCTCTATCACCACTCTTACCTGAATGAGCTATCCACACTTCATTTTCATTCCTCTGTCAAACTGTGCTTTCAACTAACCGTTAGGCGTTGAAACTACACCGTGGAAGTTAGCCGCGGATAATCAAATACACAACGTAGGAGCGGTTTCTTTCTCCGTCCAACAGTGGCTTCTTTCTAATTTACCGGATTCCAACTGCTTTGATCATCTGTCCGCGGGGAGTAACGACTCTGCTGCCAGTTCAGACTCGGTGGACTCTCAAACATCCGGATCCGAATCGGATAAACGTTGGTTTGTTGAACGTGGTTCAATCCTGTTAGAGGATGTAGCCCAATTTTGGAATTCACGAATGCAGTTCAGCGAGGAGAAAAAAGCATTCGTTATACTCGGTATGTTTTTCTTCGTCTACGTTAGTTTATATGTGCATGATGTATGTTACCTTATCTTATTTCATCTGATTTTGAATCGGCTTTTCTGGTTAATGGTTCATTTCTCGCTACACAGGAAAACATCAGTTAATCCCATGATTGCAAGCAATTGCTGCTGAACTTTGGGAATTGACAAACTAAGCCTTAGAACTTGGAGTGGCGACTTAAATAAAAACTCCACCAGGATCGGTATGAAGCCAGTCAGCAGTGAAGCTTACTACTGCAAGAGCTCATGACATAAGTTGTTAGCTGCCCTAAACCGGCTAGTAATTACCTGTTTGAATTCTGGAAGAAACTCGTTTTTTCGATAAATAAACAAGGTGACCAAACTGTTTTTTTTATCTGACCACGTGCAAATCATTCCTACACCCAGACCATGTAAATCCAGCACTCTATCCAAACGTTTCCATCCTATTGCTCTGACACCTCCGAAATCGTCAGTATAGTCGGGGGTGGGTGTCTATGACTGCGGCTGGTCACTCTTCCCTTGCATCTCGCGAAATGCTCCCATACTACCAAGCGTCTCAAATTGCCTCTACTGAGGAAGCCCTACTCACTACCTTCTCGTGGCGAAGGTATTTCCCACCAAAGTGAGAGGACGAAAAGCCGACATCCGGAGCTATAACCGGGTTGGTGGACCACTGGTAGTTCACTCAGGGGAGTTGACCAAAATCCATGATTCCAAACCAACCGAGACTTACTCTAGCATTCATATCTGCTAAAATCACGATATCAGTCCTACTAGCTTTACCCAAAAGGTCGTGTAAATTATGGTTAAATTCATCTTTGACTGCATCTGGGCTGCAGTCCATTGGGGCGTACACCGACACGACAAACAGGTTTTGTCTATCGGGGTGACGGCTGTTTACTTTGCACGCACATCTGAGTCTCACTGCGCACAACCTACTCTCTACTGGTATCCGATACAGGAGCGCGGCTTTCGCTTTCTCACTGAGAGCCACTCCAACGCCAGCCAGGCCAGAAGCAGCAGCCGCAGGGGACGCGAGTGTGTGTACAGTGTAGAGGGTTTGTCTCTAGTTGCACAAATTGTAGACTGAATGCACATAGAAGTCGACGAGTTCATCGTTGCTGGCGTTGTGCCTGTTGTACTACTCGGTAGCTCTGTACAGAGTAGGCCTTGTTCGTGGGTGCACACTAGCCTTTGCGCAATCAAGCGCGGACTGCAAGGCAGCAGCGATATTCCAGATGAGCCGGTGGCCAGTATTTGGTTCATTCGCCTCTTCTGGAACCTTGCCGAACAATAGATTTCGACAAGAGGCGATGTCCGTATTTAATGGCGGGCCACACTCGCCACGTCACAGCACTGTCCACAGATGTGTGGTGTTTTGTGCGGAGTACTCTTGCCAAGAGGTAAACCCACCATATCCTTGAGCGCTGCCGCTGATCGTCCGCGACCGCTTATTCGGAGGACTGAAGCCCACCTTATTCGCGGTTAGCCGGGAGATGACGACCTTTCTCTTATCCGCGACCTGAAGACGCGCTCGGTAACATACAGCTCTGCTCTCCCGAGTAGATTCTGTGCAGTAGCTTGGAGTTGCCATTGACACAATCCTATGGTAAACATCACCTTATTAGAACTGTAAAGAAACTTCATGGATTATCTTTTCGATTTGGATGTTTCAAACAATTCAAAGTAAAAAACAAAAAAGTAATTTCGCCTTTTTTTGATCGATTCATTTTTCTCGTTCTTTATTTTCCCCGGTGGTTTTTGCCAGTCCATTTAAAGAGACTTCAAAAACTACGTCTTTTATACCTGTTGACGATCTGTCTACAAATCTTTATGAATTACACTGAAAACTTTTCACGTAAAGTCCTCTCTGACCCCACTCATCCTTTGTATAGCGATCTATCCGAATTCCGTCCTCATCCGTCCCTGCGTTCTGCACATCATTTTCACCCTGTCGCATTAATTTCGACAATAATTCTCGCTAGAATCCTTGCAAACTGACAGCGGGTTTATGCAGAATTTTTCGGCAGCTTTGGAGGTTAAAAGTTTTACTCGTATTATTTCCTTCTTTCGATGTAATTGTAATTTTCGACTGAAATACGTCAATGTAAAAGTCTATACATATAAAAAAGGTAAATTCACTTGTGGTTGGATTCAGTTCAATTTGAGTTCGCCAAATAGCCTCCTACTGGCTTTGTTTCAGGGCTATTTATCTTGCCGTGTACCCTTTCCTTGCACTCACCGATTTGCGATTCAATAACTTTGTGAAGTCAATCAACCCTTTCAATCGGAGAGCAACTAAACGTTTTATACCTTTCATGGTTTGTTTAAAACAATCAATTTGTATGTTGACATTCTTCTTCACAAAAAATTTATTGAGCAACATAATTATTTGAGCACTGAGCAAATGTATGTAGTGCACTTCTACATATTCATTTTGTAGGGAATGAAGAATGGAAATTTCGGTCACAACTCGACCGCTACTTCAAATTTGACTGCTTTCAGTAAAGTAAAATGGATGGGCGTAAGAACGAAATAGAAACGCGAAGAAACTCTTCGGTTAAATCGTTGCAGACATAGGTCAATTAACCAGTAGTGCAGTAAATGATCTGAACCGGTGCTCGATGTGTGTGTTTGTGCTCGGTTGATAACAAGCAACGAGATTGGGAATGTGCGAGGCTATTACGATAAAAGGTGTTAATCGAGAATAACGGGTATGAAAATGTGGATAGAAAGTCAGCGAATGAGGGATACGGAGGCCCTCTTACGAAAATATGGAAAAATCGCTTTGCCCCGGTGACAACAGTTACATTATTTTCACAAATTCGCCGTCGTGCCGCTGGATTTTCTCAGATAACTGTTTGGATCTCGTTCATGGTTTAACGAAAATGAAAAAGCTTTTTAGCAGTGCTATATTGTGGTCTAACTTTCCGCATACAAAATCCTATGTCTGCATCTGTTCTTATTACTCTGTTGTCGATTTTGCAGATGTGATGCCACCGGATGAATACACCCATAGTTGTCGGAACTCAGCCTACACGAATGCGATCGCCTCTTTGGCTCTTGCTGCACCAGCCACGTTTGCGCGTCGTCAACGCCAACACGTCAAACAAGAGTATTTAGATTGGGAGACTCGAGCTTCACAGTTGTGGATGCCGCGGGATCATACACATCAGTTGATGCTAGAACATGAAGATTATACTCTGGGTTAGTAATTGTGTATGAAAGAAATGGACTGTATAAAATAATGGTTTTTGTTTCGAATCTTTGTGAAATGGGCACATTTTGTGCCACTTGTATTCGGGTGTTTGGCACAAACAATCTGTCGTTATATTTAAAATATTACCTTTGGGTTTCCCCATTTAGTGGACAACTGTTCAGTGGCAACTATGTATAGTCATTTTACTGTGAATGTAGATTTCCTTCATTGTGGGATCTCTTGTTCTTCGCACGTTACAGTTTCGGTTTCGAAAGCCCGTATCTTAGTGAACTACCTCTATTTATCACTGGAGCGTTCATCAGTTCATTGCTCGATTGGCATAATAGGAAATTGCTCCATGACTTACTATTTACTAAAGTTCTGGATGTAGATATTCCTTTTTCACAAGGATAACCACGATATGTGTATAGGTGGCGATCAGACAGATTTCTACCTGTTTATTTCTGGAGAAAAAGGGATACATCGATATAGCAGAAATATGACCCAGTAAATTTGAAAGCTCCTGTAGTTTACTCTCGTTTCTTTTTATTGAACATACAGCAGATGTCTAATCGATTCATACTAAGTGGTTTGCGCGTAATCAGAAGCCTCTCGGAAACGTAACGAAATTGAACAGTGTTGTTGAAATCCGAAAATCGAACCCGGTTCACTACCCAAGTTTTATCTTATTAACTACCATCTCTTTTGCCTACAAAACTTTGTGGGATGCAATTCAGAGTAGTTTCTCTGCTTTTGGTTCGTTTATCAGCAAAGAGGTAAACTGATGAACAAACAGAGATCACAGTCTAATCTGTCTCGTGCCTCGGCCTTTCTTTCATTGACATCCATTTCCTCTCCGCATATTAACTTATTCTGCGAATACATCTAGGCAATATCGGAGGAATGAATGCACTTGCATTGTTGATGAGAACCGTATTCAGCAACCGACTTCCTTGTCCCAAGGTAGTTTAGGTATGATCTACCCTCACACTTTCGAGGGACCGGTTAGATCACCATCATCATCACACAGCAGAAAACTGTGAAGCAAACTTCAGTGATCGCTGCCGAACTCCTAATGCATATAAGATTAGTGGTAATATATAAGATGGACAGGTATTTGACCTATTTTGAGGGAGGGTGAAGAAGGTGAACCCCTATGGTCAACACAGAGTACACAATCTAACTCTGCATAAATGCTGTTTCAAGTATTCTGGCTTGATAAGAAATGATCACAAGAACGCCACTACTGTCGGTTTGCTGCCATATTCTTCAGTGTCTCCAACCAATCAGTTTCAGTCTTTCGGACCCCAACCTGGAAGGCGCGAGACGCCTACTCTACCTAATGGCTTTGTGCATTTTCACATATCTCGTTTCCACGTCATCTGTTTACCTCTACGCGGTTTCCTCCAGCCTGGAACGGCTACAGCGAATAACCAGTTAGATGTGGATTTATCTCTCGATAAACTTGCTGGATCTACATTATATTAAAATTTTCTTACTGGCAAGAAGTGTTTGTATGGGAATAAGGTCCCTATGATAAACGTTCGTGCGTAAGAGTTCTAAGCTTTTCTCATACTGACTGCTGATAAGCAATAAAGTAGTCTACTGTTGATTACGATTGTCAAAAATATGAAAAGGTGTACTCTTTTCTCTCATGTAGTACGTCGACTGTTGACAATGAGCCCAATACCTTAGTGAAAGCTGTTTGAAACGTTTGATTCAACTGAGATATCTGAGTTAAGATCGGTCGGCAACTTCCTGGATAAACGGTAAGCGTTTCTACCAGCTCATAATACGAGGGGATGTGGAAGTTTGAGAATTCCCGTAGGTATACATTTTTATTAACTGGTAAGAAACTGTCCTCTTGATGTATAATTTAATTTTGCGGTTTCAGTTTGTAGAACAAAACCAAATAAAGTCAAAGAGTACGCGAATCTCTTGTAGTCGTGGAATCTTTCTACTCACGAAATGTTCAGCTATACAGAAATACAGAAAGTTTATGCTATTTTATTAATTCTTCGTTGACTTATTTGTACATATCTCTATCGATATATGTATGTGCCTACCCTTCTAGGCACATGTGTAAAACAGGCGGATACTGTTCTCCTGACTTATCCACTCCAGTTTGACCAACCTGATCATTGGAAGCGCAATATGGTGGATTACTATGCTGGGGTATGCGCACGCATCGCTTCCTGTCCAGCATGCACCGGACTTTTTCTCATCGCACGGGGCTGCCTGTGGTGCATAATTTGTTCCAAAATCCCTCTCGTCACCATAATTGATTCATCAGTGCATGGCAGGAATAATTTTCGAGTACCTGCTCGTAATTCTATGTTGTTCTGCTTAGTGTGCTTCTCGT